GTGTTGGGCAGCCCCATGGTACGCAAACACGCGATCCATGAGCGCCCTCGTCACCATCGCGCTACTGCTATCCTTGGAAACGGGATGAGATGCACCTGCTTTGAAAGCAAGCACTGAGCAGTGAGCACCGCGTCGTGCTTGTGCCCACGGTAATCCTTTCGACGGCACCAGATCCGTGACCAAGTCAATAGCCACATCCTGCCACACACCAGCAGGCACTTCGATCGATGCGTTCAGGCCAGCTTGCTTGAGATGCGACGGCTTGTTCTGCTGGCAGAGAGTGCAACCAGCCACGTACTTTTCGATGTACTCCATCATGTTGTGCCAAACATGCGTTTGCTTGACACGCAAATTCGTGCGGTGCTTGCCACCATGACCCGCCCCCTTGGCATCGTGGCACTCGGCCACAACCAGTCGACGACAGTCACCTTCCGGGACGTAGATGCGCTTGCTCCCATCTCTCCAAAGGCCATCAGCCAGCGTGAGTCCGAGCAGCTTCTGCAACTTCTGGTCAGGGGGGCTGGTGCCAACTTGTGCGCGGATCTGATCCTCGATCGACACCTCCGCCGCCACCGCCTTCGCTGCGCTTTGACCTGCTCCAGCCGACGTGCTCGCCACTGTGGCTGCGGCCGCGACCGTGCTGTCCAGCTGACCCGGCGTGAACGCCTTGCGAGCGGCTTCGCCTCGCACACTGCCCTCAAAGTTTGGGTTGCGTGACAGGCAGTCTGCCAGAGGCTGCGACACACCAGCCGTGAACACAATCTTGAAATCGCACTGGCTGAGCTCCTCGATCCATCGCGCCATCCGGTAGTTCCTGACCTCCAAGTTCTGGTAGTTCACCAAGTTCTTGTGATCCGACTTGAAAATCACCTTGTGCCTGGATCCCGTCAGCAGATGTCTCCAACGACGCACTGCCCGCACAATCGCCAACAGCTCCTTATCCGTCGTGCTGTAGTTCCGCTCCGCGCTTGACAGACGCTTCGAGTAGTACCCCACCAGTTTGAGACCTTTCATGTCCGACGGATTGCCACCAGGCTTCATGTTGTAGAGCACCGCGCCCGTGCCAATGTCACTCGCATCAGCCTCGCACACAAATACTTCATCACGCCGCGGCAGCCGCAGCACCGGGGTGGACGTCACGACCTTCTTGATCCGTGAGAAAGCTTGCTGGCACTCCTCCGTCCAGACAAACTTGACGTCCTTCTTGAGCAACTGGTCCAGCGGCGCCCGCATGTCAGCAAATCCTTTGATCCAGCCGCTGATGTGCCCCACCGCGCCAATGAACGAGCGCACCTGCTTCCTCGTCTTGGGGACGGGGAAATCCAGCATGGCCTGCACAGCCGACTTCGTCGTCGAAATGCCTTGAGCGCTCAGCACAAAGCCAAGCAGAGGCACTGCCGTTGCAAAGAACTCGCACTTGCTCAGCTTGAGTGGCAGCTGGAACTCGCGCACCCTACGCAGCACCGCGCGGGTGTTCTCGATCAGTTCCTCCTTGTTCTTGCCACCCACGATGATGTCGTCCTGATACGCCGCGACGCCCTTGAGCCCACGCAGCATGGCATCCATCAAACGCTGCATGGCCACGCTTCCGACTTTGATGCCGAAGGGTAGCACCGTCCACTTGAACACGCCACGGTGCGTCCTGAACGCCGTCGCGTTAATGGAGTCCTCGTCTGCAAGCCGAATACAGTTAAAGGCTTTAGAAACGTCGAGCTTGCAAAAGATCGTCATGCCCGCCATCGATTCCATGATATCCTCAACTGTTGGCAGATCGTGGACCTCAGACAGAATCTTCGCGTTGGGGCCCCGGAGATCGAATACCACCCGGTTGATGATTTTCTTCTCCGGTTCTTCTTTCACAAACAGCACCGACGATGGGTTCGTTGCTCCAGGCGCCGGCACTATTTTACCCGTGCGAAGACCATTGTCAATGATCTCATCGAGTGCCGCTCGCTCCTCCTCGTTGTACTTGGTGCGCCGATATGGCGTCTCGACGTCACCGCTCGCGAACCGCAGCTTCACGTCCAGCGGACCGCGTTTGGGAGGGTATTTGTCCGCTGCCGCTGGATCAAACAAGGCTGCGAACTCCCGAAACGCTTCCGGAATGGCCTTCGGATCGAACGGCTGCTGTGGCGATGCCTTTTCCCCAACGAGCAACGCTGCGCTCTCCGCCTCTTGAGCTTTGACACGAATCGGGCCGCTGTCCGTAATCCGCTGCAACACATCCATGCCTATGATCAGGGGCATGATGCATTGCGGCAGGATGTAGACCAGCACCTTGCCACGCCACTTGCCGATCGTCAGCTTGGCCCAGGCCGCGTGCGTAATGTCGCGCGTCGTCGTATCGACCATGCGTACCGTCCTCGGCCGCTCCAGCACATGCGGCTCCAAGCCCCACGCCTCAACCGAGGCACTGGCTGCCAGCGTGCGCGTCGACCCCGAGTCGAAAAGCGCTCGGGTCGGTGTGGTCTTGCTAAACTTGCGGCCTATGCACACCGTAGATTGCACTGCATTCTTCTTTGAAAGAATTTTATTGAGTAGTACACGCGAAGGATGCAAATTCGTGTCTACCCTCAGGCTTTTCCCTGGCCGTCCTGGCCATTCTTGGGAGCCTTCTTGGGAGCCTTCTTGGGAGCAGGAGCATCGTCCGAGTCATCAGACTCCTCCTCGGAACTGCCCGCAGCCGCAGCCGCAGTGCCGCCTTTGGAATAGCATGCCTCCGACTTGTGGTTCGTCCTGCCACAGTGCTTGCAGCTCTTGACGTCCTTGTCCTTGCTCTTGCCTGCGTGATGACCGTTCTTGTCTCGATTCGGCTTTTGGACGTGCCTGG